GAAAAGAAAACAGTGTTGTTATTCTACCGGTTCGGTCCGGTTCTACTGAACTGGTAGCGGCAATGAGCAGCAGAGACCAAACGGTTCTCTCTGATGCTCTGTGTTGGGCCCACCCGTCCGCCCAGGCTCCCATACTAACCTTTATGTCCTGCTTTTGAAGCACAGCTGCTTTCCGCAGCACAGAAATTGCCGCGCGGCAGCACAGCAATGCCTCTGAGCCTGAGCAAAGTATGCACGTGTTTGCAAAGTGCGCCCACCAAGCCATGCCCACCGTACCGGTGGTAACAATTTTCAAAACCCACCACTGGAGGAAAAGTATGGTAGCCCTGGATCATGCAAACATTCAAAGGAGGAGACCCCAAATTTTGAAAATTTGGAACTCATCTGCAATTGGACCCATTCAGAAGCCAATTTTCTCTACCCATATTCTTCTAACAGGATGCATATCTCTGCAGAGAAGGAGTTTATTTCATCACCCCACTTACGTTAGCAAAATATTTGCTGAGAAATGTTCATATTGCAGAGACATATTTGAGAATAAATATTGGGCAATCCCTGTTTCTTTGGGGTGGGGGATAAGTGGTTAAGTAACTCAAGTTACAACAAGTTTTTAGGAAGTTTTTGTAGAGTTTATTATTTGAACTTTTACTGAATCTGCCTGAATGCGGTAGTTTGTCTTTAACTGAGTCCTTCAACAATGGTTTCAACAACAAAGTATTGGCAGAGGTAGGTCAGCAAAGAGATCCCATTTTGAACTGGGTGAACTGACACCTATTCATATGGCTCTCTGAGGGGAGAGAGAATTATAACATGTATATGGTCATGTTATCATACAAATGCCATAAGTAATGTTCTTACATGAGACATTATGACCAATTTATGCAATTGTGGCATTCAGAAAATGATATCATCACTTTGTTGTCTATCACAAACCAACTCTCTATTTACAAATCCCCAAAGAAGTTCTGATCTTATGTTTCCTTTGGCAATAAATTAATCTCAGAGAAAATAATCAACAATGCAGATGGCAGCACAGTTGATTCTTGTCTGGCACAGAAGTTAATTAAGTATCCAATTAGCACTTGGAAAGAGGCTTCCAAGGAGTACTGAGATGAGGCCTAGACTGGGAAATGGTACATGTAAAAGGAAACGGGATGACATTATTAATGCCAACGAAACATTAGCCAGCAATGCATGGGAGCTATTTAAACAGCAAATATTATTTGGGATACACTAACAGGAGTTAGAATCCAGAACAAGGGAAGCAATTGTCCTAAAATACTCTGTTCTTGGCATCAGCAACCAAGAATGACATTAACATACTAAAGCAAATTCAGAAAAATGCTGTCAAAGGTGGGAGAGGAGGACAGGCAATATGGAAACAAAGCCCAGTGTGGAATGGGTAAATGATCTGGTGTGTTTAACCTGTAGGAAAGACAACCAAGGCAAGATACAATAGCAGTTTTCAAATATCAGAAGGATTGCCACGCAGAGCAGAGAATGAACTTATTCTCTACTGCCTCAGGAGACAGGACCAGAAGGAACACAGTGAAAATTACAAAGGAAGAGGTTCAGACCAGACATTAAGAAACACCATACATATCAATGGCACGGAATTCCCTATGTCTTCGTGAATTCCCCTTTGCTAAAGAACTTCAGGTAGAGGCTGTATAGTGACTTAGAGATACTCTAGCGCAGGGGTCCCCAACCACCGGTCCGCGGACCGGTACCGGTCCGCGGAACAACTTCTACCGGTCCGCGGCTTGCTGGGCGCCGCCATCTTTTTTTTCATGAAAAAGTGCTTCCGGTGAGCTTTCCCGGGTAGAAAGCCATTTCTACCCGGAAAAGCTCACCGGAAGTGCTGGCGCCGCCATCTTTTTTTGATGAAAACGTGCTTCCGGTGAGGTCACCGGAAGCACTTTTTCATCAAAAAAAGATGGCGGCGCCCAGCTGATGCCGGTACCGGGCCGCGGCGCCCAGCTGATGCCGGTACCGGGCCGCGGCGTCAAAAAGGTTGGGGATCACTGCTCTAGCGTATTAGGCACTCAGCAGAGGGCTGATGGATCAACAACCTGCCTCATGCATCGATGGTTTTGCTGACAGAACTAAATGAGCACTGTGCAAAAAATAAGTAGATCTTGTTACTTTAGAAAACCAACAACTTTCTAAAACTATTCCAGAAAATTTGGGAATGGATATCTGACATAGAATAACTAGTATAAAGAGCCAGTGTCCAGAAACCTCTGATTGGAGAATAACTTTATTATCAGTTTATATGAATCATGAGTCCTCATGACTGGGAAAGTGCAAAATGCAGACGTGAAGGCAGTTATATGTGCTCCAAGGACTGAACATATTACACCTCTGCTTTGCAAGCTAAATTGATTGCCACTTTGCTCTGGGTTCCCATTAAAGCCATATATGCCATGGGACGAGATTATTGGATGGACTGCATCCCCCCAGTTACATTGTGTGTAGCAGGAAAGCATGTTGCTGGTCCCATCAGCAAGGGAATTTTATCATGCGGGACCTGGGATGAGAGTCTTTTCCGCCATGACCTCTGCCCTGTGGAATATTATTCCGCTGGAGATGACACTGGTGCCAACCCTATGGGCTTCCAGAAGACCCTTAAACAGGATTCTGTCACCTGACTTGGGAATCCCTTGACAGAGAAGAACTTGCTAGATGTCTGCGTGATAGTTAATTGAATGCACTCTCTTATAGGCTTTTTTGGCATTTTGTTTTGTCTTGTTTTTATCTTAATTTAAACCTGATATTTTTTTAATAGTCTTTATGTATTTGTACTGCTTTTATTATGTTCACCACCCAAAATCATTATGTGAGATTAAGGGCTATACAAATATGACCAATATATAAACTAAAATTAAAACTGTAAGTTAAGTGTAAATTATCTGCCAAAGAATGTTGGCTTTCTAGTTGAATTCTCACATCATAATGTGATTTACTTGTTTCAGGATTACTGTAATATGAGAAGCTATCTACCGTGACTGGTAAACTGTAGTTTATGTTTTAGTGCTATGTGTAACTCAACCAACTTTATTTACGAAACCACTATTAACAAAATTGCAGCTCAACTAAGATTAAAACAGTTCTGTGCAGGAAATACGAGGATCTACTGAAGTAATCTTATTTCTGCTTTCTCAAAAATAAATTCAGTAAGAGTTACTACTATATAAATAAACCATAGGTCAACTGCTAAAACATATAATAAATATTATGACCATATGGAATACCATCTTCAATTGGGAAAAATATTCTGAATTTAGCTGTGACATAGCTAATTTGACTGCTCTCATTAAATTGTATACCATTTTTGTCAGAAAAGAATGTTAAATTCAATACAGATCTTGATGGAAAATGACCAATAATGTGGAATCCTTGGGGAGATCTGAGCTAGGTTGTTTGCTTAGAGACATTTCATTACCAACTAGGTAACATTGACTATCCCCATAAACTCATTTCAATTAAAAATAGTTCTGATGCACAATTTACTTTAAAAATTTGTTTAAATATGATACAGGACGAAGGCAATTTGATGGAACTTAATTACATGCCTAATATGTCACTTTGACAAATTTTTGCTATAGGAAAGGAAAAGGGTGTGAAAAGCAAGAACACTTTTCCAAGATCGGTTTTATTAATGCATAATTTTAGTCATTGTATATTCAATAATATATATTGTGATACTTATACCATAAGCTACGTCCAGATCAAATGAATATATATTAACACAATATAAATACTTAATGTTAAAACTGATAATTTTTTTAACTCTAAATTAATTCACAGCCTAATAACTACTATATTTTTCCAATAATTTGTATTAGAAGAACAAAAGGGAAGAATCAAAGGACACAACAAAATAAAGATACTTTACGAAGAAGTAATATTTTCTATTTCTCATATTATAAGTGTCTTCTGTGAAATTATAAAGAATTTAAAAAGTCATATACCGAAATTCTAGTTCAAAATTCTGAGAATTGTACTCTAATACATTTGGAAGATACGACACACAGAGAAATTAACAACTCAATCTTTGCCAATGCAAATAACCTACTACTCTAATGTTATAGTGGAGGAGGGAATCATCTTTACCACCCACTTTTAATTAAAACCCTATTTTTTCCATGCATCTTCATGGTCTACCTGCCATAGGATTCACAGAATTAATCATTATCTCACTTTACCTTGCTATTGCTCTGTCAAGCTGAGGAAGGACGTATTTTTTAAATCAGAATTTCTTACTATAAATATTCATGCTTCTGAACAAAATTGTAGGAATGCATCCAAGAAACATCCCTCTTACAAATAATGCTTTTGTCCTGCCTGACAGTGTCAGCTAGTCAAGAAGGACCCCACATATATTGCAACTAGCCTTTTGGATTAATTCTTACTCTTCTTGACCTTTTTTCATTTCTGTAAAACCAAAACAATCGTGCGCATAAATGATCTTTTGCACCGCTGATGATGCAGATGCCGGAATAACATGTTCCGTATAATGCACGAATCAAATTCACAAGAGTTCGAGGGACTGTTTATGAGTAAGTGTATCAAACTGAAATCAGCTCAGCCACAAACCGCTTAATACGACTCTTCTGAAATCCGTCACTTAGACATGCATGGGTGCGAGCGCCCATCAAAGCACTTTAAGCACTGCATGGCCACGCAGGCTATAGGATTCGAATCCAAAACGAGTACAAATCAGGAGTTCAACTGTCTTGGGTTCAGGATATAATTCAAGCGGTAACAGGACTGTTAGGTTCCACGCGAGATTGAACCTTCTCTGGGTGTTTCCTAAGTCGTGTGCGGTTTCACGAATTTCCTTTACTCTGTTAGCTCAACCGTCCACATACATATACACCGCTTTTATATCCGCTTTTATATCTATATATATAGATAGATAGATATATCGATTACCATTACCCATCGGTTCCTACCCTCCCTCCGTCGCTAACGGGAAGATCCCACCCCTTCCGTACCGTTTACACCGGAAAAGTTCCTTCCCTCCTTTGCTTCCCAAAAGGTTCGTCGTCCGTGAAAACCGATCCTTTGTAATCCACCCGGTAAAGTCCCAAGTCCCAATTCTTCTTCGAAGCGAGAATTCGGCTAAGTTCCGTATCTTCGGGATCTGCGCCGCGAGGGGCGGGAAAGAGGAAACGAGGTGTGAGGCAGCGGCGCAGGCGGCTGTCACAGTCACACTGAATCAGAAGTGAAAGTAAAAAAGTCAACTCTGCTTAGAGAGGGGATGGAGGAAGAGGGAAAGATAGCCGGGATAGGCTCGGAGGCTGGGGAGAGGCTCTGATGTAAAGCCTGGCTTTCTTCTAGTGAATTTCTTTAGTGAGTTTTCTCCTTGATCCGAAAAACAAACAAAGCCAAAAAAAAAACAAAAAAAAAAACCCGACTACGGGCATGGTTCTGCGTGTTTCGAACCGAATAATAACCCGAACTTGATTAAGGGACGTTGTTAGCGTAGCCCTATTTATATTACCTTGACCTATTTATATGGTCAACGTCTGGAATACTCTACCCGACTCTGTAGTCTCTTCCCCAAACCCCAAAAACTTTAACCTTAGACTGTCTACTATTGACCTCACCCCCTTCCTAAGAGGTCTGTAGGGGGCGTGCATAAGCGCACCAACGTGCCTACCGTCCCTGTCCTATTGTTTCTCTTATTCTTTTATTTTTCTTATATGTACCCATTTCATGTATTCACAACTATGTATACGCTTATATCTTGTAAACAATTGGCAAATCAAATAAATAAAAATAAATAAAAAATAATAAATTACCCAGGCTGAATGCTTCAGGCGGGTTTGTGTTAAAATGTAAAGGTTTTTCAAAACCCGAAAAACAAAAAGGGTGGAATCAACACGCCTCTCACGTTGAAGGTAATCGCTATTATTAGAATCCGGGCGGAAAAGATGAGTTTGAAGATTCTTAAGATGCTCTGCCTTGTGTGACTCGCCTAAAAAAAGGGGGCAAGGCTTTCTTTGCCGGGCTGTGGGGGAGCATTTTTTTGTTTGTTTTACTCTTCCTATGCACACCCCACTCTGATATCTCCTGGAAGCTTCCCATAAGTCAGAAGGAATGCTGAGAAGTAAGAGCTGAGACATCCCAGTCATCACCTGATGACGGGGTGGTACCCAAAGATGAAGCTCTTATGAACAAACAGTGAGGATCATACAAATAAACATTATCTTAGCTTAGTCTAAGCCATGTTGGGTTTTAAACATGACAACCAGCACTTGTCCAGGAAGCTCTGAGCAGCTAATGAAAATATTTGAGAGCAGGGATAACATAATCTCCTGAGCAGTTCCAGAGACCAATCTGACCATATTCTGAATAACTACAGTATATAACTTCCGACTATTTACAAAGGCAGCCGTAAATACAGTACATTGTTGTAGTCCAGTCCAAAGGTCATTTTAGATCGTTTTCTTCAAGGAATGGGATACTTGTGGTATTAGTCACAGTTTGCAAGCACTCACAACGTGTATTACCATACTTGTTCATTCCACAGGAATTTAATTTAATCCATAGAATAGTTTATCCCTGCTTCCAAATCAAACCTCCGCATCATGAATACCTCTAACTTTCCTAGATTCAGTTCTTATTTATTATCCATATATAATAGAATAACAGAGTTGGAAGGGATCTTGGAGGTCTTTTAGTCCAAACCCTGCTCTTACAGGAAACTCTATACCACTTCAGACAAATGGTTGTCCAATCTCTTCTTAAAAACCTCCATTGTTGGAGCACCCACAACTTCTAGTGGCAAGTCTTTCCGTTGATTAATTGTTGTGTCAGGAAATTTCTCCTTAGTTCTAAGTTGCTTCTCTCCTTGGTTAGTTTTCATCCATTGCTTCTTGCCCTGCCTTCGGGTGCTTTGGAGAATAGCTTGACTCTCTCTTCTTTGTGGCAGCCCCTGAGATATTCACTAAAAATTATTGATGACCCAACTGAGTGTTTCATGTAGATGTTAAAAATGTATTGGTACCAGAATTAGACCCTGATAGACTCTTTATAAAAGTTCCTGTTTGAGGGGCAACTGCCATCAACCACAACCATCTGAGAGAACGTGCAGTATCCCCAATCCACATCCCTTAGGCAACCCAAAAGGATAACTTGGCTGATAGTATCAAAACTGCTGAAAGACCTAAACAAAAATCCACAACATTCCCTCCTTCGGTCCTATATCACAGGGATCCCCAACCTTTTCGACGCCGCGGCCCGGTTCCGACATCAGCTGGGCGCCGCGGCCCGGTACCGGCGTCAACTGGGCGCCGCCATCTTTTTATGACGAAAAGGCGCTTCCGGTGAGCTTTCTACCCGGAAAAGCTCACCAGAAGCGCTTTTTTACCAAAAAAAAGATGGCGGCGCCCAGCAACCAGCGGCCCGGTAAGGCTTGTTCCGCGGCCCGGTACCGGTCCGCGGACCGGCGGTTGGGGACCCCTGCTATATCAGGCCAATCAAAGCAATCTCAACCTTATAGTCTACTTAAAGCCAGTTTGATGTGGGTCCTGCTTCTTCCAAGATTATTTAAAGCTGTTTAGCCTCTACATTTTTAATCTATTTTCCCCTCCAACCATGGGATGTTCAATTATATAATTCTCCCATCAGCAAGAGATCAAAGATGGGCCTCATGAGCAGAGTTCCAACCATTACCTTCTATAAACAAGGAAATATCCTGTTCTCAGTGAGGCATTACCTTCCAAAATGCCCGTTCCAATAATCTCTTTGCATAATGAAATACTAGGCAAGGATCCAAATTATCCGTATTTTGATATGGAATAAGATTGTGTAGCTTTGAGACTGTGAAATGTCAAAATATGTAAGAAAATAGCCATGTTCCTCATAGAAGTAAAATGTTCTTTACAAAGAAAAATAATCATACATGGAAAGAGAAATGCCAAGTAAAGAAGCAAAAGGCTAAAATAGCTAACATAAAATTATTATTTTAGAGAAAGCAAAAGAAAGCAATTACAGGATGGGAGTTTACCTCACTGATTACAGCAAGAACTTTGTATAGATTGGACCAGTATGTGAACGTATTAAGGCTGTGCTAAAATACTTGATAATTCTTTTGAGGAGTCTTTATACTTTATTTTACACATTTCAAACTTCTGGACTACATAACTCCAATGATTTTGGTTTAACATTAATAAAAACCATGAAAAATTGAAATAAGACCCCAAAAGACAGCATCTTCTGAAGAAAACAACTCTCTCTCTCCCTCACAGAGATAACAATGACAATGGCATCCCTTCCCATCAACCAAAGTTAAGGTCTATGGAAAGAGCTATTGTGATGAAGCATGCACAAAAGGAGCAAAGCTTACAGGATAGCACAGTGTGAATGTGATTATTTTTTCCACCCATACTGCCTTGAAAATGATGATTACTGGAACCCAAAGTGGCTAAACCACTAATAATCTGAGACCTGCAGATGACACTGCTTTGCTACTGAAAGTAACAATTAGTAATGAAGATAAATGGAAAGTGACAAATTTGGATTATTGTATAATTTTAAAAAGATGAAGTTTTTGTCAGTCTGTGTGCTTAGTGAATTTGTAGTTGGCAAAGAACTAACTACGGCAGCTTTGTTTTCTTAGGCTAATAAAGAGCAGATAAAGATGAACAGTATGTGGAGAAGTAAAGAAGAGGGGGGGAAATAAATGTTGATTAATTCAGAGAACCTTTTTAAATAAGGATATTCCAAAAACATAAATCAGAATAGAACCATTAATCTTCCAAATATATAAAGCTACTAGACAATCCATGACCTTTTGAGTCATTGTTCCAGAAATATTTCTTACCGAAACAGAAACAGAATGATTATGGGGAGGGTTAAAAAGCCGTGGGAGTGGAAGCAACTTTTGAAGGACTGCCAGCTTCCCCATTAAGTTTCCTCAAGGAAAAACTGACAGGGAATATCAAAAACCTTCCCTTTGAGAGAGATGCCACGTGGGCCGTGGAGAGCACATGAGTCACAGTGTGTGCACAGGAACGCAGCAGCAGTGTCACATGGGTGAGAGAGAGTGCACATGGGGGTGGGTGGGTCAAGAAGGGTGCATGGGGGTTACCGGGGTGTGCATGAGGTGCTGCAAAGGTCAGGTCAGGGAAGACACAAAGGGAAATGGCACAGGTCACAAAGAGTGCATAGGGGTGCACAACAGGTTTTGCATGGGTTGGGGGAGGTTTGTGGCAGGGGAGTGGATGGGGGAAGGTACATGGGCATGTGCAAGAGGTACCACATAGCTCAGAGAAGATGTATGCGGGGGGGGGGCGGTGTAGCATGAGTTGGGAGGAGCAGTATAGGCCAGAAAGGATGCACCGTGTTCCTCTGTCCCTCCCTTCCTATTCCTCCCATCTCTCTTTCTTTCCCTTCCCTTCCCCCTTTCCCTTTCCTTCTCAGAAGGCAGATAAGTGGCTGCTGCTGGGTGGTGGAGAGAGGGAGGGATTGCAAGAGTGGCTGGAAAACTGTCATAGAGTGTTGCAAATGAGGATCACATGACCACAGGAGTAGTCCAGCAATACTGAAACAGCCACCATTTTTCTAAATTTCATTCCCTCAGGAGTCATTGGTCCTGGAGTTTAAACACATTTCTATAAGTTAGCTCATTTGAGATACACTTGGTTCAAAAACTGTTGCACCGTTTTGCCCAGTTAAAGTTTATAGAATTAACTTTTAGACAAGCTGTGAATTGTTCAGTCATTGTTTCATAAATATTTCCTTACCAGATACTTCAGTGTTTTCTGCTTTCAACGTGACAAAACTTCTAATATACTAGAAAAGTTCTTTAAAATTCAGGGAGATATTCAGAGGTGTTTCTGCCTTGAAAGTAGCCCGTGTTGAACTGTATAGCATAATCAACTGTGAGAAGCTGACTACAGAAAATGTTTTATGCCTTTTTGTGTTATGTCATAAAAGCTTTATGATAATTTTATATCCTAAAAGTGTTTTATAAAATTTGCCAAGTTTTATTCCTTATGGAGTCATTGATAAAATCATTGGTCAATGATTTTAAATGCATTTTATAAGTTAGCCCATTTGAGGTACCTTTGTTCAAAATTGTTGCCTTATAATGCACTGTTTCACCTAGTTAAATGTTATGGGAACAAGAGTTTTGGTGACAAGAGATGATAGATAGGTAGATAGATAGATAGATAGATAGATAGATGGATGGATGGATGGAT